CCATCCCCGCCTCTTCGACCTGTTTGTTTCCTCTCCACCTATCCTCTCCTCTATCCCTCTTCTATCCGCCTCCCACTCTCTCCCTATTTATTTCAAAACCCCCTTCCCCTCCCCCTTTTCTGATGAAGGGTCTAGGCCCAAAACGTCAGCCTCTCTGCTCCTATGATGCTGCTTGGCCTGCTGTGTTCATCCAGCCCTGCACCTTGTTGTCTCGGATTCTCCAGCATCTGCAGTTCCTACTATCTCTATTTCAATACTAATTTGATTGAAACATTTAGTAGGTCTCTTGTTAGTTTAAAAATTCAAACATTTAATATTTATACAGATTACAATAACCAAGAGGATATGACGTTAATCTCTTTCATGTTAATTTAGCCAAAAACTGAAAGAAATTTGGAATCAGGCAAAAATGAGGTAGTCATTTCCCAAAGTTTCAAGGTACTTTTGTTACCCAACATTCTGGCTGTTGTTGTCTCTGTAGTACACCTTGCCCTTATCTGTTTGTGTTGCTGATCTTGCTAACAGTTTGCAAAAAATAAAGCCAATGTTAAGGAGCATCAATTGATAAAAGGAAAAACAATTAAAATAAATGTAGTTTGCAAAATCTGGAGGTACTTTAATTAAAAATATTGCTAGATATTGCGAGGGAGGCAATTCCGTGAAGAAAACATCTTCCAAATAAAACCCAAAAATACCCAAAGATTTAGGATCTGGAATCTACGTTGTTCCCATGCTTAAAGTGCTCGCATTTAAAAGCAGGGTGTCACCACAACACTGCCTAAAAGCGTCCCCGATCATAACGACAAACGATATCATTAGACAGACGTTTCAATAATGTGTTTTCACAGATTAGTTTGGTATACATTAGGTCTGATCGAACTAAACACCATTCCTACAAAAGAATACATCCAAAAGGGATGCTACTTTGCAGATTTGCAACTTTACTACTGATAACCACACTATTATATATTGGCATAGACCGAAAAGTTAAAAACCTAATAGTACCAGTGTCTAGGGTGTGCCCTACGTAGACCAATAATATTAAGGAAGAATTAGATTGATAACTGTATGCCTTGATTGATGCTGTTCCTCATTTGTCCTCAGCCTGACAAAGCTTACAATGCTCCCGCCACGGGTCTTACCTCGAATTCTTTGATGTTGTTGGAGGTGACGAAGAGGCCGATGCCGATGGGGATGAAAATGAGGCCTATGATAAAGAAAGCGGGTAGGACAGTGCCTGCGGTGAGAATAGGCTGCCAGGCGGGGAGGCGCTGCTGCTTGAACGCGGTGTTGTCCGGTTTCCTGCTCTTGTGCTGCTCACCGTCATCGTCTTTGGGGGAATAATTAGTTGCCATTTCGGCTCAGAGCGGCCACAAGATCACGGTCTCTACAACTGACACAGCTAACCCCCAATGTACCACTTACCGCTCGGACCTAACCCCCCAAGGAGAAAGAAGGAACTAATCCCGGAAACCAAAACCCGAGGACGCCCGTACGCGATGACGTCTATAATTAACGTCATCGCACGGTAACGTTCAAGAATGTCATGACGCTCCTAAACATTCGAGCTGCTGTTTCCATAACGACAAGTAATGCGTTTCGAGAGCACTTTGTTACAGACAAGTTAACATTCAGCTGATGGAAGACTAAGACATGATGAATTGATTGTACATACAGCCTTAGGGGCTTGACTAACACTAGGACTTAATTATATTCCAGGCTGGAAGATACAATTGAGGATTTATCTGAAGATGGCAGGTAGAGGAGTGAAGAGGTCAGAGCGTGGAATCACTATGGGCAGAAACAAACAAAGTAAACAGCTTGTTGAGCTGGATGAACACAGCAGGCCAAGCAGCATCAGAGGAGCAGGAAGGCTGACGTTTCGGGCCTAGGCCCTTCTTCAGAAATGGGGGAGGGGAAGGGGGTTCTGAAATAAATAGGGAGAGAGGGGGAGGTGGATAGAAGATCGATAGAGGAGAAGATAGGTGGAGAGGAGACAGACAGGTCAAAGAGGCGGGGATGGAGCCAGTAAGGGTGAGTGTAGGTGGGGAGTTAGGGAGGAGATAGGTCAGTCCAGGAAGGACGGACAGGTCAAGGGGGCAGGATGAGGTTAGTAGGTAGGAGATGGGGGTGGGGTTTTGACGTGGGAGGAGGGGATAGGTGGGCGGAAGGACAGGTTAGGGAGGCGGGGATGAGCTGGGCTGGTTTTGGGATGCGGTAGGGGAAGGGGAGATTTTGAAGCTTGTGAAGTCCACATTGATACCATTGGGCTGCAGGGTTCCCAAGTGGAATATGAGTTGCTGTTCCTGCAACCTTTGGGTAGCATCGTTGTGGCACTGCAGGGGGCCCAGGATGGACATGTCGTCTGCGGAATGGGAGGGGGAGTTGAAATGGTTCGCAACTGGGAGGTGCAGTTGTTTAGTGCGAACCGAGTGTAGGTGTTCTGCAAAGCGGTCCCCAAGCCTCCGCTTGGTATCCTCAATGTAGAGGAGGCCACAACGGGAACAGCAGATGCAGTATACCACATTAGCAGATGTGCAGGTGAACATCTGCTTGATGTGGAAGGTCTTCTTGGGGCCTGGGGTGGGGGTGAGGGGGGAGGTGTAGGGGCAGGTGTAGCACTTCCTGCGGTTGCAGGGAAAAGTGCCGGGTGAGGTGGGGCTGGAGGGGAGTGTGGAGCGGACAAGGGAGTCACGGAGAGAGTGGTCCCTCCGGAAAGCAGATGAGGGTGGGGAGGGAAAAATGTCTTTGGTGGTGGGGTCGGATTGCAGATGGCGGAAGTGTCGGAGGATGATGCGTTGGATCTGGAGGTTGGTGGGGTGGTACGTGAGGACGAGGCGGATCCTGTTTTGGTTCTTCACAGATTGCTGAGCTTTTCCAGCAACTTCTGTTTCTGCAATTCACACAGCGAAAGGCGAGTGGACCAGACAAGCTGAATCCACCCAGTCCCCAATGTCCCACTTACCGTTAGTTGAGTTTCCAAGGCGATATGTCCAAACAATTCTTCATGGCTTATACTTCTTTGGGAATAGTGTTGACCGGCCGATATGCTTTCCATTTCTTATCTTTAACTAGCTTCACAGTAAATGCCCCAAAAATCTCATCTACTCCCTGCTTGACCAAATTCTATATTTCAACTGCTGTCTGGGTTGTTTTTCCGAACTTCCACATTGGATTTAGTGAGTCTCATGTTTATGGCACCTTGCACTCCCGTAAAGGAAAATCGTGTTTAGCGAACTTGCTGGAGTCTTTTGAAGAGGTAACAGAAAAGATTGATGTGGTTAGCTCAGGCTTCATGGTTGGTTTGCAATACAGACTGATGCCAACAGTGCTCAATTCCCTCACTAGCTGAGGTCACCATTAAGAGGTCAGCCATATCACATTCCTCAGTAACAAAAGCAAAGTTGCTAGAAAATCAGAACTGAGGAAGGGTCACCGGACCCAAAACGTTAACTCTGTTTTCTCCTTCACAGATGCTGCCAGACCTGCTGAGCTTTTCCAGCAACTTTGTTTTTGTTCCTGATTTACAGCATCCGCAGTTCTTTTGGTTTTTATTTGGTTCACATTCCTCAGTGACTGCCTCCTGCTCAGACTCACCCCAGTGCTTTGAATCCACCCAGACTCACAGTTATCTCTGTGATGTTCAACGTTCCACAGACAGCTACCCCCGCGACCCAATATTGAGTTCAATTATTTTAGGGCCTGAACTCTCCCATGTCCTAGCCCCCTACCCCACACACCAGGCCTTGTTATCACATTGTCTGCCAGGACACACTACCTACTATTAAAAACCAAAAGAACTGCGGATGCTGTAAATCTGGAACAAAAACAAAGTTGCTGGAAAAGTTCAGCAGGTCTGGCAGCATCTGTGAAGGAGAAAACAGAGTTAATGTTTTGGGTCAGGTGACCCTTCCTCAGAACTGATGATGGCTGGAAAAACGTCAGTTTATATGCAGAAAAAAGGGGACGGGGATGGGGAGGGAGTAAATGTTACCTATTGTTAGTCACCAACAGTTCCCATCAACAGCTATTCACCCTCCTAACCAGATCGTTATCAACTCCTTTATCTGTCCAACTGTTCTTGTCTCTTTTTGGGCTCTTTCCCCACTTATCATTTATTCCTCACCTCCTTCCCCCACCCTATCTTCTGCATATAAACAGACATTTTCCTAGCTGCCATCAGTTCCGAGGAAGGGTCACCGGACCGGAAACATTAACTCTGATTTTTCTTCACAGATGCTGCCAGACCTGCTGAACCTTTCCAGCAACTTCTGTTTTTGTTCTTGTTGTTGTTGACCATAAAAGTCCTGCCTTCTTGATCTGTTTCCCTAAGGCATGGTGAACTTCTGGTTAAACTCCCCACCAGATGTCTTTCTCATGAGAGAGCAGCCCTATGGTCCTCTGGGACTATGGGACTATGATTTAATAGTATACATGGATTTTCAGAAGGCATTTGATACAGTGCCACTCAATAGACCCGTGAGGAAAATGATAGGTCATGGTATAAAAGTGACAATAGTAACAATGGATACAAAATTGGCTGACTGATAGGAAACAGAGAGTAATGATCAGTGGATGGAAGAATTGTAAACTGCAAAGATGACAGTATGAAACTCCAAAAGCACATTGACAAGATGGTGGAGTAGATGGATAGATGACAGATGAGGTTCAATCCAGAGAAATGTGAGGTGAGGCACTTTTGTCAGAAGAAAATTGAAAGACAATGAAAAATAGGAGATAAAATTCTAAACGGGCTGCAGGAGCAGAGGAACCTCGGTGTATATGTGTACATATCATTAAAGGTAGCAGGATTGGTGGAGAGAGTAGGTAATAAAGCATACAGCATTCCCAGCTGTATTAATAGGGATATAGAATCAAGAGCAAGGAGGTGATTTTGAACTTGTACAAGACTCTTGTTAGACCTTAGTAGGAGTATTGTGTACATTTGTGGGCACCACATTATAGGAAAACTACAAATGCATCGGAGAGAGTGCAAAACCAATTTACAAAAACTGTTTCAACAGTAAGAATCTTCAATTGTGAGGATACATTGAAGAGATTGGGACTGTTCTGGAAGATAAGAAGGTTTAAAGATGATTTGATAAAGGTTTTCAAAGTCATGAGCCAACTGGATTGAGTGGATAGGGAGAAGCTATTCTGGCTCATAAAAGAAGGAATGCCAAGAAAGCACAGATTTAAAGTGATATGCAAACGAAGCAAGCAAGTTGTGAGAGAAAATGAAAACATTTGGATATAAATGGTGTAGGCATGTTGGACTAAATGGCCTTTATCTGTGCCATACCAATTTGTGATTCGACACTTCCATTAATTGATCAAACCCTAGTCACCCCAAAATGAGTTTTCTGTGTGAGTTAAAGGATAAACTGGAAGATTCTCAGTTGTACAGTGCATTAATTTGACTCTAACTTGACTGATGTGATCAATTTGCTCAACAATTAAAGCAGACATTCTGCTATGAGGGTGGTGCAGTGGGGTGTCAGGTTGTGGTTCCACACACATAAGGAACTATTAGTACCTTGATCAAGTTCCCAATTTTCAGAGAATTGTAGAATTTTTACAGTGCGATAGGGGTCCTTCAACCCATTCTGTCTGCCCCAGTCATCAAATATCCATCTATGTTATTCCTATTTTCCTGCACTTGGCCTGTATCCTTGTAACCAATGTCATTTCAAATGTTCGTCTATATACTTCTCAAATGATGTGAACCTCTACCACCCTTTCAGCAATGAGTTCCAAATACCCACAACCCTCCAGATGCCAAATCTTCAGCCAATTCGATTCACTCCACGTGATATCAAGAAACAATTAGAGACACTGGATAATGCAAATACTATGGGCCCTGACAACATTCTGACAATAGTACTGAAGACTATCTACCACTCCCCTAGCCAAGCTCTTCCAGTAGAGCTAAAATCCTGGCATCTACCTGACAATGTGGATGTCCTGTAACAAAAAGCAGGAGAAATCCAACCTGATCAGTCTCTGCCCCATCAGTCTACTCTTGATCATCAGCGAAGTGATGGAAGGTGTCATCAGCAGGAGTATCAAGCAGCACCTGCTCAGCAATAACAAATTCACTGACACCCAGTTGAGCTCCACTAGGGCAATTCAGCTCTTACCTCATTACAGCTTTGGTTTAAACATGGACGTAAGAACTGAATTCCAGTGGTGAGTTGAGAGTGACTGCCCTTGAAATCAAGGCCACATTCGACCAGGTGTGGCATCAAGGAGCCCTAGCAAACTGGACTAAATGAGAATTGGGGCAAAACTCTCTGCTGGTTGAAGTCATATCTGGCACATAGGAAGATGAGTAGTTGTTGGCTGTGGGTGTCAGTCACCTCAGCTTCAGGACATCTCTGCAGGAATTGTTCAGGGTAGTGTCCAGGGCCAAACCATATTCAGCTGCTTCATCAATGACCTTCCCACCATCATAAGGTCGGAAATGAGGATGTTCGCTGATGATTGCACAATGTTCAGCACTATTTACGACTCCTGAGACATCAAAGCAGTCCATTTTCAAATGCAACAAGATCAGTAACAATATTCACACTTGGGCTGACAAGTGGCAGGTAATATTCATGCCATACAAATGCTGGCCAATGACCATCTCCAGTAAAAGACAATCTAACCACCACCTGTTGACATTTAATGGTGTCACCATCACTGAATTCCCCACTATCAACATCCTGGGGTTACGATTCACCAGAAACTCAACTGGACTTGCTGCCATGTAAATACAATGACTACAAGGGCAGGTCAGAAGCTAGAATACTATGGTGAGCAACTCACCCGCAGACTCCCCAAAGCCTGTTTATCATGTATAAGGCACAAGAGATACTGCCCACTTGCTTGGTAACTCTTGAGAAGCTTGATACCATCTGGGACAAAGCAGCCCACTCATTAGGCACCACATCCACAAGCATTCACAAGCATCACTGACACTCAGTAGCAGCAATATGTACTATCTACAAGATGCACTGAAGAAATTCATCAAAGACTGTACCTTCCAAACTCGTGACTACTTCCATCTAGAAGGATAAGGGAAGCAGATACTTGGGAACACCACCACCTGCAAGTTCCCCTCCAAGCCACTCACCATCCTGACTCGGAAACATATTGCCTTACTTTCATTGTCACTGGGTCAAAATCCTGGAATTCCCTCCCTAAGGGCATTGTGGGTCTACCTCCAGCACATGACCTGCAGCAGTTCAAGAACACAACTCACCACCACCTTCTCAAGAGCACCTAGGGATTCTTAATGAATGCTCGTCAGTTAGTGATCCTCATCCTTTCACTGTCATTAAAGTCATTTTATTCCTCCTTCTACAAAGGATTTGCAGAGAAAGCTGAGTTGAAGATAATTAGCTGTTCCTGGAGATTTGTTTGTACCTTCACATGAGAGAGGGAGATTTTTTTTCATGCTTTCTCTTTGCAGGCTAGGTGATTCTCTGCTGTACTTGGTTTCACACAAGCCATGGTCACCTGGTCAGGATCCAGTCAGAACATTACCGTCAATCAGCTTTCCTTTAGTTCAGAACTTATCAGCTCCATGGCTTCTGCTTCTGTTCCAGGAAAGATGCAATGTGTATGCAACTCACAAAGTGTTCCAGTAAATATAATTTTTAAAACTGCAGTCACTTTTTTGCGCAATCTCCTTGATTAAAGCAGTATTTTCCTTTTTGGAGACACCACAGTGTGGAGCTGGAGGAACACAGCAGGTCAGGCAGCATCAGAGCAGCGGGAAAGTTCACGTTTCAGGTCGAGATCCTTCTCCATTTTCTGAAGAAGGGTCCTGACCCGAAACGTCAATTTTCCTGCTGCTCTGATGCTGCCTGACCTGCTGTGTTCCTCCAGCTC